AATGAGTAAGAGTCACCTGGGGGTCGTTCCTTAGCTCTAAAAGTCGAAAAGTGCATAATGAGGTTGTTTAGAGTTTATTAATGACTTTAATTCGCGTCGGGCCCGCCACAACGGCCCGGCCAAACCGGCAAAACCCAGCGCCAAACCGGCATTCTCGAGACAGAGAGTTATTTCAAGAATTCCAAAATTCTCGTTTCACAACACACCTCTAACCCACGATGCTCAGTAAATACCCTTTACGCTAAGATTGATTCCGGGAGTTCTACTCACCCGGATTCAATTCCGTAAAGTCGTACGGATTCCTTAACGAGTTATCTAACTACTTATGTAATCAAAATCATAAATACTTCACCCGATTGTGACTAGATTTCCCTACACCTCGATGACTCCGATTTCATCCAAATCTGGACAAGGTTGGAAAAAATCCAAATACTACGAAAATGTTTTCCGGCCCCAAATTTTCCCCCGTTGGATTTTCTATAACGACTGGAACAGGTCGTTACACTCTATTATCTAAAAACTTCACATAATATGAATCATATATATAAAAGAAAATTTTACAGAGACACATATTTATTTATCATTTTATCATCATTTAAAATCATCTTATACAAGTTATATAAACTATAATGTTAACTACCTCATGTTAAATTACTGTAATATACATTAAATTAATTTTTGTTAATATCTTTTGATTCTCTTTATTGGAGGTAATAAATTTCTTCTTCAGGTATACAAATCACTTTAGAAAAAATTATTTGTTACTATACTAAATTGTTTTCCTAATCATGACGTATATAAGAAAAGACATAAAGCCGTAATTCTTTTCTCATCATTTATTAATTCGTAAAGAATGATACAATTCATTCTTATTTCATCAATTAGATCGTTATTTTTATCAGTTAAACACCTATAAAACGAGTTTAAATGTATCCAAATTTAATCTATAAATGGATCAGTAGATTTTGTTGCTTCGTATAATATTATAAAATTGCCAATATATTGACACTTATAATTCTAATAATCTATTCCCTTGAATAATATTTAAATAAAATAGAAAAAAAATCATTTAATTAATTTTTCAATTCAAATACCGTGTATGTATTTGACATGATGTTATAATAAGCATTGGAGCATATGATATTGTATTAATAATTAATGCAACTTATATAAGTTATATGTTACTGTTTGAGAAAAATATTTTATTATAGAATGTGATTTCTATTATGATTTACTTTGTATTTTAAAAAAGAGAAAATAGACAAATGCCTCCCTAACCTATTATCGAATTCTCAACTACACACTTATACTTTGCGGGGGTCCTATTACCCCCCTGAATTTTTCAAAAATAAAATATATACCACCCT